TGTAATTACACCAACAATAATACTTTAAGAGATACTTTTTAAATATTTTTTTCGATAAAACATGGCTATATTTTACCATTTTGGGGGGGGGGGCTTCAGCCCGAAAGCCCTCCCCGTAGATCCGTCAGTGCGTGTCTATTATTAGGAAGGATAGAATTGCAGAGGGAGACAGCTTGGATTAAAAATGATTTATCAAACGCATAAGTTCGGTGAGATGGTAGGTAGAGGTCGGAAGTACGAGATCGAATTGAGTATTCAAATTGTAATACTATACATAAAAATCTATTGAATATACAACATATTTTTATTTAAAGGTTTGAGAAAGTGAGATGACCTCTCAATTCTCCGGTGCTTGAAATTTGTTGCGGGAAAATAGGACAAAATCTTCAGGTAAATTGTAAGGGAGGGTGCCCAGAAATAAATTATAAAATCCTAGAATAAGTTGGGGCATATAATTATCCCTGAACGTAAACTAAAATTTCAATAATAGAAACATAGGGTGTTAAAATACTTGCATACCTACTGCTAGGTCTTAACTTAGACATATAGTCGAATTTACTTTTTCTGTTTTCTTAATTCATTTTTGTTTACATGTTTTATTGATTAATGTAGATTAATCTTTATTGATTTTGATTTTAATTTCCTTCTTCAAAATAATGGTGGAGGGGAAGGAACGAAATGATATTCTCGCCCATTTCCTGAAGTCTATGGCTATGCCAACAACGTAGTTCGAAACGTCGGTAATATGTTCGGTTGTATTAATATACTATTATATTATAACAGTATTATAACTTATAATACTTAAGATAATAAGACCGCTTCCCTGAACATCAAATTATCTCTATATTGTTATCAAATAAATCTGCTAAAATAGCGATCGCTGTCAATTAATGTTGTGAAAATTATATCAGACATATATGTGTGTGTGTGTTTTATAAGTAGCTTATAAGCTACTCTCAAATTTTCATTTAACTATGATGTATGATGACTGTGTGGATGTTTTTTTGACAATATTAACTGATATCGATCGCTATTTTAGCAATTATCTTCTTTTTATAATTAAGTGTGAATATTCTTCCTCCACTTTATGTCAAAAGCCAGTGACGAAGTGACGGGGAGAGAGCGAGGATATCGTTTCGCCTCTCTCCTCTCCCCACGGGCGGATCTACGGGGGGGGGGGGGCTTTCGGGCTGAAGCCCCTCCCCCCAAAATGGAAAAATATAACCATGTTTTATGGGAAATTTTTTTTTAAAAATACCTCTTAAAGTATTATTGTTCGTGAAATTACATTTAAAAGTACTTAAGGAATAATTTAAACACCATTTCATATAAGTAGTTAGTTTCTTTCTGTTTTTCCAAAGTAATTATCGTTATTTTTATGAAAAAAAAAAGGTTTCGGGGTGAAGCCCCCCCCCCAAAATTAAATTCTGGATCCGCTAGTGCCTTCCCCCCAATGTTTCGATGAACAAATATAAAATATAATCGAAACGAATGACTAAAATATGAAAATCATCAATGAAACTGAATTGCATGCCCAACTCTACCTCAACCACACTTACCAGCAGAAGACCTGCATAGTTGGGTGGAAACGTTTTCTTGAAATAAAATACTTTTTTCTCTATTTTAAGTCTTTTTATGACCGCTTATTATGAAGGCATTGATTTTTTTAAGTCCAATTATTTTTGCCAGTTATTGGACTATAAATAAAATAAAGTAACTGAAAATAACCAGTTATCAGTAATACCATTAGTACATTTAATTTAGGGGGGAGAGGGTTGAAGAACCACTTAAACACCATTTCATATAGGTAGTTAATTTATTTTATTTTTTTCTAATTAATTATTGTTATATGTATATGAAAAAAAAATCTTTCAGGCTGAAGCCCCCCCTCCAAAAATTAAATCCTGGATCCACCAGTGATCTGGACTATTGTGGTCAAAGTATGGTAAAACCACCAATAGCTGACAGCATACCAATGCCTGACATCTTCCTCAACAAATGTGAATAATTAAATTTCAGGACCTCCTGGATACTTATTTTATATATTTTTGGTTTCTATTTGTATTTGTACTTGTATATTTGCTTTAGTCTTGCTAGGAACCGAAACAGAAATAATGAGTGGCAAATTAGGAAGGTCCCTGATAGTCACAGGAACAACCACCTATCAGTAAAGAAATCATTCTTTAGGTTTGCCTTTTTCTCTTTAACTACTTTGATTTATCGCAATTTTTTTGTTTTATAGTTTCTTGGAATGTTTTTAAATTATGTTTTATAACTTATCTTGGTGATAGAATTGAAAATTTAATGGATGCCTTATAATGGGGCATTTTTTCAGTAGCTGACAGGCCTGTACTGTCACAAAATCAAAGAGATATACTTAATGAAAAGAAGAATAGTTGGGATGCTCAGTCAAAAAAGGAAGGCAAAAAATAAATTATAATATTTATTTTTTTATATAAATATTATAATTTATTTTTTGCCTTCCTTTTTTGACTGAGCACCCCAACTATTCTTCTCTTCATTATCCACGACAGTCAACCAATTACCAATTATTAAGATATACTTAATATAATGTGTCTTAAAAATAGGACTGTTCACTACTCTCTTATTATAAAAAAATCTGTTGTGCGCAACGCACAACTTTCTACTATGAATAGAAATTATTTTCTGACAATCTTGAGCAATTATAAAATTTTTGAAATACACTTTTAACGTTGCTATAGCTTAAAATTAACAACTAACAAATCATTAACACCATTAAAATAACAAAAACCCTATTAATTATATCAACGGTAGAAAATATAAACCTCACCTCGTAACTCCATCTGTTTTTGTAAATCACATAACTCCAGTCTCTGAACAATACATATATGCCTAGAGAAATTTGAAAGTAATTCTGTATATTTAACCTATAAATGGTTATTACTTGTACGCCTATTAGTTATTGAACTGTTATTTTCCATTATAAAGTTTACTACAAAGAAATCAAGAGATTTTCATTGCCATAGACAGGTCAAAAGTTTTTACACTTTAAGTGGATAATTTTTGGAGTTAACAAAGGGAAAATTCATCAAATTATTTACTAATTTAATTTTTTAAAAGGTTAAATGATGATTTATTGGAATAAACGAACGTTGATACCTAATTATTTAAATAAAATATCAGATTTAGAATTATTAACCTACAGTAAATGTATTTAAGGTTATAAACATATGCTTTATAGATCCATGAAATATTATTAAATTTCACTTCTTCTTTTACATAAGTACTATGTAATAGTTTTAAAATAGTTTTTTAAACAATGCCATTGCCTTGATTAGGTGGATTTTAAATACTTTTTTTTCAAACTTAAAAAAGTTTACATTTAGTTAGTAAATTTCATTTAATTTAATAATATTAGTTTTAAAAAATTAATATTTATAATTTTTTGTCACTCTTCATTACTTTCTACATAAGATATTATTTTTCTAAAATTCTCTGCTTTTCAATGATATATTTATTATAGGTATACCTTCTGACCAGTATTTCCGGAAATTTATTTTCAACCTAAATAAACATTTTCCCTTTTTTCTTCATTTTTCAATTATTAAATTCTTTCTTTAAAAGTTATATTTAGCATTCTTTCGTAACTCTTAATAATGAGAGATGGTTAATTATTTAAAATAAACCAAATTAAAGGTACTTTAGAGGAAGACATGTTGAATGTTTAAGCCCTGTAAAGTGACATCAATGAGGATAAGACCTCAAATTATACAATGATACATTGAGTTCAATCAAAATATATTGAGCCAGCTAAAATAACTTTTATTAAATTTTTTGAGCACTAACTTTAAAAAATATTTTGAAAAATGGCTTAAACTTCAAGAAATGTTAGTGGATTTTAACTTTACAATATAGAATAAACTTAATGCAGGATTAAATTGCTTAAGAGTAACAAATATATACAAATAAAGACAACACAAAAACTATATTAAAAAATTCAATTAGTATATATACCATCAACAATATCCATATATAAACAGAAAATTGAATTGATTTCTAAATTTTAACTTAAACATTAAAAATTCACTTTTAATAAAAATTTTATTCTTAAATTAAAGTTCCATTATTGGATAGTGTCTGTTTAGAATCCGAAAAGGTAAATAGGAAAGGAGGTATTTGAATGAGATTTGGAAAGAATTATGACAGATAGCAGTCAAACTGACAAGAAAGTAATGTTCCAAAGTTTTATTTCTATGGGAAGGGCATAGGATAAAAAAATGAGAGATCTTCTTTTCTGTGAGTGTATGAAAAATATAATTGCAGGAGAGTAGAAGGATTTCTGGTTTCTAGGAAGTTGATTCTTGGTATTGTCAGGATCCAAGGAATTTTGTCAATAGATGGAAGGAAAAAAGTTATTTTAACAAAACTTTAAGGAGGTACAGAACACAAATCAAAGAAAGTTTTTCATGATTTGCTTCAATCAAACCTTGAGTAAATTTAAAATAAGTGATGATACAAACAGCTTATAAGTAGGTTGTGTTTGTAATGTTTTATCAAAAGCTTATTTAGGTAATTTTTAAATTCATTCGATCTTTGAACATTTTAAACTAAAATATCAGAAATCATAATATGAATGAAACACATTTAAGATATCATTACCATAACTACAAACATAAATATGACTTACATAAAGTAAAATGTTAAACAAATTATATTTTGATCATGCAAATATATATATATATACACACAAATATGATACACCTGCACCATCCACACATATAAAGGGCATAACAAGAAAACAAGGTTAGATAATAGCAATTTTATTTATCACTTTATAGTCTTTAGAAAAGACCAGTGTATATTATACACAAGTACAAAAAAACAGAAAAGATAAATTTTATATATATCTATTTATAATATATATATCAATATTTACAAGAATAGCAAATATGTAACTAAGAAACATATTTATAATTTAATAATGCATCTTGTGCAAAAAAAAAACAAAAACAAACAAACAAAAATTAGCTATGGCTTGAAACAAAGTGTGTCAAAATCAAGAATTGTATTTCTTTTCTAATATAACATCTGATGATATTGGAGAGTTTAAAAATTTGGACTGAATAATTGATATAAAAATGAATGAGAAATCAAACCACAGATAAACGGAATAATTTTTATCTTTGGACAGTTAAAATAATTTCTTAATTTATATCTGGTTAATGTTTAAGACTAAAAATTTCTACAACGTGGAAAAGGCCACATTCAGAGAAACCAAGGCACAGGGCACAATGAATAACAAACTTGTTCCAATTTTCAGTTATGAAGAAGAAGAAGAGAAAAAAAAGGGAATGTTATTTGTGGTAACATTAAACGAACAAGTAGCCATTAAACAGAATTTTCTGAATTTTAATACATTCAACTAGTATACACAATGACATTTTTTTTTTTAAATACAACAATAAAACTAGTTGTATTTTTAAATCATTTACAAATGCCTGACTAGATGCTGAATGCTTCTGTTTAATAAACTTTCTTGCTGATTTGATTACACTTTACACACCTATCATTATGCACACTAATTAATTCTAAAAATTTTGACCAAACAATACGTAACAAGATAATAAACAAAGAACAAATAACATTAAATAATTAACAAGAAAAAAAAAAAACCAATAACATACGAAATATAGCCTTAAAATCAGTCAGGCTGTAGGCACTTTAAAGAGTAATAATCAACTATAATTATTAATATTTAATAAACAAAACATTAACTTGTTCTTACAATTCTATGTAGTCCTAAAACATTGAATAACCTTAAGAAAAGAAAATGAAGAATAAATGACACATAAGTACATACTACGATGTGGCATAATGACTCATGGTGTGTTCTTCTTCATACAAAGGGAACTCAATAAATACTCGACTTGATATTCATCAATCAATCACTACGTAAGGCAAAATACATAGAGGTTCACTGTTATAAGACGTTCTCGACACTACTTCATGCCACTCCCGAAACACTTTTTGATCACCACGTTCATCGTAATTCCCGTTTAATCCTTCAATATGTTCATTAAGTACTCGGTCAACTTCTTCGGAAGTAACTTCATGAGGTACTGGTGAAGGAACAGGGGTTTCGTCCCACTTAATGGCGTCAAGATCTAATGGAGGTAGTCTTGATAATATTTCTTCAGCCGTTCTCATAACAGGCGGCTCTTCTTTCGCCACACTACTCTGGGTTGGTGCTTCAGTAGCAGTATCACTACCATTTTCATTTTCTTGAGACTCGACATCGATTACTTCCTCAACTTCATCACTTTGAGAACGTAAAAACCTTGCAATATGTTCTGTCTTATTCCTGGCAATGTCATGATCGACTACTGGAAGAACACAATTCGCAGGAGCATCACCACCACTTCTGGATTTCAATCCAGCTAAAAGTTCTTTAGTTGTTTTCACTTTAGGTATTCTAGCAATAGAAGCAATTTTTTCTTTAACTATGTCCTCACCTACAGTATCCTTCTGAGTCCTGTCCTTGGGTGCTTTTTTACGGTTCTTCAGCTTCGGCTGTGCAGGGGTTACGGAAACAATTTCACAGTCAGATCCGACAGAGTCATAATGATCACCATTAACACGTCGATCTGTAGCTGTCTGAGATTCAGTCTTGGCACGTTTTGCTGATGGAAGCTCCGGGGAAGATTCTACAGCATTTTTTTTCTTTTCTGCTATGACAGAAGGTGAGGTAATTTCTTTCCGCAGGCGTTTATTAGCTGCATGAGTTTTAGGAACGGCCTCAACTCGTGTTGAAGACAATACTGGACTTATACTACTTTTATCACTGTTAGGTAAAGAAGTGGCGGGGGAAATTGGATGCGCCCTTGAGATGGCACTTCTGGCATTGTGAGTAGCACCATTTTGTTGAGAAGTTTCTTTGTGAACTGGTGCTGCTTCACTGTGAGGTATAATTAGGTCACGCCATCTCCGAACGAGATCTTTTGCACGTTTGGCAAGAAATTCATTTTTCGTTTTTCTCCGTAATTCATTGATATCACGCCCCAGACGTGTAGTCTGAAAATTAACAATCATGAAATTAATTTACAAATTAAAATTTATTGCATAAACAAACCTAATATTAAATAGTTTATTTACTAAATAGGTTTATTAATTTAATATAAATAGCAATTAAATATGGAAGATATTCTAGAAAGAAGAAACTTCTGCCATTGGAGATAAAAAAAATTGAATTCCTATCTGCTGAATAGATGTATATCGTTGCCACTATGTAATATGAGGCAGCATAAAATGTGAAAAATAGCATTTTTCGAATGAATTAATTTTATTAATTTAATAGAAAAATGTTTACAAAATATTAAAGCTTTAATTTAAATCTAGGACTCAAGAGATAAATAAAATTATTCACAATTGAGGAAGTTGAAAATAAAACTTAACAATTGTTTCTAATGGATCATCATTTCACTGAGTTTGTCCGTAAGCCAATGCTTAACATGCTATTTCACATAGAAAACAATTGGTTTATTCATTCAATGCTCCATATTATTCAACTTTCTAATTCAGTAGGTGGAAAATTACCATAAACTTCAAAACAAAAATTGTAAATAAAATTATAAATGAAAATATATAGAATAGGAATTATAAATTTATTATAATACTTTTGGATTCCAAACCTATAATGTTCACATCAATAATACTTCAGATTGATAAGTAACGATAAATAGATAAGTGCAATTGGATTCAGCCACAAAAAGAATCAGATACTTGTCTCAAATAACCATGAAATGGGTCATCTAAATCATCCACAGAAATAATAGAAACAACTGATGTAAAACGTGAGGGAAGAAAAAAAGTACAAGATACAATCTGCCTCTTTTATCTGAATTAAAGTATCAATTGGGTGAACATATACATCTTTTTTCATAAGTATCCTTCAACAGTAAATTGGAAAGCATATATAATGAAAATGTATAGCCATATCGCTAATAAAACAACCAAAGCCTAGTGCATCCTATAATGACTAAATTGTTTATTGAAACTGTAAAATTTTAGTCATAACATATTAACAAGAATTCTTAATTTTTTTTTATACCATAAAGGAACATAGAAAGAATGAAAAATCAACCTCTTCTAGCCCTAACTGTGGAGAAGGGAAGGCGAGGAGATTCAACAGTTAAATCCAAATTAAAAGTGATGTGTCCAAACGACTCCTGGAAGAGGTCATACACCAAGATCGGCGGACACTATGGAAAAACAGCCCTCCAAATAAACTGAAGGTGATAAAAAATTAAGTAAAGCCATGGAGGAGTAGTTCCAGTCGTAGTAAATGCAGAGAGGAGGATGTCCATAAGCGACTAAGAATAGGTCATACGAGGCTTATGCACCTTCACTTAATTACAAAAGAAAATTTACACATTTGTCGAAAGCGTGGAGAGAAAATGACAGTGGTCCATATTTTTGAGAGTTGTGCCTTTTACATCAGAGAATTAAACAAAAGAGGAATACCAACAAAAACATCATCTACTTTGGGAAATGATGAAAAAATCTAGAGTAAAAACATATGTTTTCTCTCTGAAGAAGGAATCATTATATAAATAGGCAAACACAAATCGGTTCAGCCCCTTTTACTCCTCTAAATCTTCGAAAGTTCTTCACCGATTTCTTTTAAATTTTGACACGTCGGAATAATATTTAGAAGGGTTTTTGTGTACGTTTCATTATCATCGGGCCTTTTCTTTCGAAATGGCGGCCGAAAAACGCTTTAGACTGTAGCGCCATTACGGCATTAACAATTTTAATGAAACTTGGCTAAAGTCTTTCCCTTGAAACGTTTATAATTTATGTATATAACATATTTTCCTGAAAACAAGCTGCATACATTTTTAAGATGAATTCAGTATTTCATTTGCGAATAACTCAAAAAGTAAACATTTTTTATTGATAATACCTATATTTATTTGAAAGCTTCCTGAATTCCCTACAAAACAAAAAAAAAAAAAAAATCATCGAAATGGGATTATTTGTTGAAGAGATATATAATTTTAAACATTTAGTACTTTTTCTTTTGCCAATTCGATTTCCTTTATTTTGGATTTTGATAAAGCGAAAACTTTCATTTAACTGAGTTAATTGGGACTATTATTTAAAGAGATGATATTATTTAATGTTAGTGGAATGATACGGAAATTAAATTTAAAAATAAATTCTATAGTTATACTCATTGTTAACTTAAATACTGCACAAGCATTAGTTAATGGGACACGAATGAGAGTGAAGTACTAACAGGGGCTATTTTAAATTAAAGAATTTTAATTTAACATTTTCTGACACAATATTTACATTAGACTTTCAAAGAACAACGTTCCTATTAATAGATGTATTTGCTATGACCATAATCAAATCGCAGAGTAAAAAGTTTTAGAAAATGTGTGTATTATTGCGACGTCCAGTAATTTTGCATGGACAATTATATGTGGCAGCAACTAGGGCACGTTCATTTAAAAATATTGAAATTTAAATTTTCAATGGCAATGGACATGGCTATGCACTATACAATAACAGAACATTGTTTAAAGAGAAGTTCTGAATAAAAATGGATTTAAAGTGAATGGAAATTGCTAATTTAAATTAATATTTTACTTGCTTAATCATAAAAAACCATAACATTAATTTATTGTGATAACACACATAAATTAAAATTTTTTGAATGAGTCTATTTTGTATCAGTTACAAATAATTTTAAGTGGTTTAAGCTCGATTTTTAATTGAAATAGAAATTTTGTTTGTGTTAATAAATGAGGATTTTTTAATCTACATTCGACTTTCAAACGTTCCTATTAATAGCTGAATTTGCTATGACCATAATAAAATCTCAGGGTAAAAGTTTTGGAAAAATGTGGGTATTATTGGGACGTCCAGTAATTTCACATGGACAATTATGGAGAAAGTAAAGCACGTTCATTTAAAATATTGAAATTTATATTTTCAATGGCAATGGGAATGGCTATGTACTAAACAATAACAGAACATTCAAAAAGAACATTGTTTACAGAGAAGTTCTGAATAAAAATGGATTTAAAGTGAATGGAAATTGCTAATTTAAATTAATATTTTACTTGCTTAATCATAACATTAATTTATTGTGATAACAACACACATAAAATAAAATGGAAATTAAATATTTTTGAATGAGTCTATTTTGTATCACTTATAAATAATATTAAGTGGTTTAAGCTCGATTTTGTTTGCATTAATAAATGAGGATTTTTGAATTGCAATTTACTCTTTCTTTATTTAATTTATTTTTTATTTAATTATATGTTTTCCTCAAAATTTTAATGGCTATGGTCGAATTTCGACCACTGGGCGAACACTAGTCTTTATAAATCTCTGAACCTCTCGAGCAGCACTATCCCTCCTTTTTTTTACTTTAAACTTCCTATTATTCAACACCCGAACATAGTTATATATATAGTATTAATTAATGGCATTGATTACCAACAGGTTTTATGCCTTTACTATATAACAACCAACTAAAAGTGATGACATTTGTAATTGTGGGATCACATAACAATAAAGAATTCGGTAGGCACACTTCATCCATTCTATTCCAAAGGTTATGGTTATGATTAACAACAAACAATTAAATATATTCTCTTGGTCTCGTTATTCAGAAGCATGGAATTCTCTATTAATAAGAAACTTTATTTCAGACGAGAACGAAATATTACAACCATATTGAGACGAAAACAAGTAATGAAAAGAAATAAAGAAGACCCATTCTTTAGCTAAAATGTTTCCAAATAATAATTAATATTAAGATATTGAAATGTGTTGAGATAAATTATCTAAATCTATAAAAACTATTTACAACATAATTAATACACCATATGACTATTAACAGATTTCACTGAAGTTAAAGTCAGATCATTGTGATGAAAGGAAACCATAAGAAAGATAAAATTAATTATCTTTAAACCAAAGACCACAAATGAATACAAGTACATCCTTTACAGGAAATTATAATAAATCTAGAGAAATATGACTTTTTTAGCAGGGCAAGGTGAAAAAGTGATGAATGCAGGAAATGTAATGCATACTATGTATCAGTTCATAGTCGGAGAAAAGAAATGCTTATCATATGCAATGGCACTATTAATTAATGATGAAACTTTACAGCTTTGAGAAGACTTTAAAAGAAAATACCTCTAATAAATCCATAATCTATAAATCTTGGGCCATATACCTTAATGATGAGAGGTACTTAAAAGCAAAGATCAGACGGAAAACTTCTAGACTAGTATCTGAAAGAAACCGCACAAAGAACTAGAGAAATTGGGAAAAACAAAAAATTCATTAATCCTATCTAAACATCATAATTAAATTCATAAGGATGGTTAACAGTACAATAAACTGGTTAAAGTATAGCCGTAAGAATGACTTTTAATAAGTATATTATAGCAATTAAAATTCAGTAAGAAATGTAAAAAGCAGACAAATGCCTAAAACCAATAAATTCATTACTTTGAAAACACAACACAACCTTCTGGAACAACTGAAGACTATAGTTTTTTTAATATATAGTACAGAAATACAAGATAAAAATATTCTGAGTTATGAAGGTGTAAGAAAACTATACTAACATCGTAAGACATCAATAAGATCTTGGCCAACAGGTAAAATTCTGCTGAACAATACTATCTTCGATAAGATGAAATTAAAGAAATTTTACAACAGTAACAGATATTAGATTAAATCATAGGCAAATGCAAATATTACCGGTAATTAATAATAATTACTGTTAACGAGCAAAATATGTTATTTAATTGAAAAATGGTAAAGAGAATATCTCACAAAAATCTTTGGGTAATATTTTTTACAGAATCATGACACTAATAATCAAAACATTAAACAAGTAAAATTTCCTTAAATCAATCATGAAAAAGATAAGAATTGGAGCACTCTTATAAAAGCACCTTCACTGGGCAAATTTGAACAAATGAAAATTTAAACGCTTTTCCAGCCAAAACTATAATCAATCAGCTAAGTAATAAGGGTTCGTTAAACTTGCATGTATACATATCCACAAATTATAACTTTCTTAATCGGTTAATAAGCATTCTCATAAGATTAACAAATGTTTTACTAAAGTTGATCTAACCGATAAAACTAAAACAATAATACGCATTAGGATTCTAGAACATGGACCTAATCAAAGATAATTGTATTAATAGCTTAACAAGAAATAATATCAATTAAAAACATAACCTGACCTTTTTTTAATTTAGCAATATACTAATATCACAAAATACTAAATGCTACTTTAACTAATAATTCTGCTACAAAGAAGAAACCATTATAGAGTATTTAAATTCTGAAACTATAAAAGGTAATAAAGGACAAATGTTATGAAGTTAGAATGCTTAAATTCATTTCTTTCTGCAGAAGAAACCTCTATCAGCACCCAAGTAAAATAACTTAACACAGTTTTGTCAATAAAACTTTGACTAATAACAAAATCAAAAGGTTGAACAGCAAATTAATAACGAAATACAGATAAAACATTTTGATTCTAACAACTTCTGGGTATCTATATAAAAAATTCTAGAAACATCTATATAACACCACAAAACTTTGCATCTATCATTATGAAACAACTTAACAAATCAACTGCCGAACATATCATCCACTTGTTGAAAATCACCTGATTCACTGACATTTAGTAATTCAGAAATTAATAAAAGTAGAGAAATAAAGAAGAATAAGACACTAAAACCACAATAAAATTGAAACGAACAGCTATAATATCGGCAATAATTTCAGGACCAAATGGTAGTTTAATTAGTCACAGATAAGAAATAAAATAAAACTCTTACCTCAAGTGCTTCTTTAGTAATAGGAGTCCTTTCCAGGATTGTGACAACTTCCAATACTGTTGCCATATCCAATACCTATAAAAGAAAATGTTACCATGTACACATTGAAGAAATCAGGACATGTGAGTTTAAACATAAATTAACACTTGCACTCTTATATATGAATAAATTACCTCAAAATTCTTTCTAAAAACATTTTGCAACTAATTAATAGTAAAGGGGATTGATTTTGAAAAAAATTTAAAATTAAATTAAATGTCATCCTAGCCTTTAAAAGTACATTTAAAACTTTAAAGAGCACTCAATATGAAACAGTAAATGTCAATAGAAACGCCACTTAATATAGTTCACGAAAAGTAATTTAAAACTAGCAAATTAAAAAAAAATCTATATTATTCCACAATAATAAAGAAAGATAAACCGGATATTTTCTTAATAGATGCGCAAGCGCAGTCCGCGTATGGTCCTGGACTGGGCCAGGCTAAAGGCAACACTTTCTAGGTTCAGTAGCATTATTTCACATCAAAAAATCAACATCTCTTTCATCAACGAAATTGCAATTTAACTGCGCTCTATGATTTTGAGGTAATTTTATTTAATAGTAACAGGGTTTGGAAAATATAATTTAGAAATTTAATCGGAATCACACTGGCAATCCACACTGGGCCTCACAGCAAGTTATTCGTAATAAGATAGTATCTTTACGTCGCAAACCAATTTAATCTCTTACATTGTATTCCTTGTCGAGTGCCTTCAGTAACCTTTCCTTGATTTCAATAGGAGATTGCTGCATGAGGCCGTAATTGGTCTCGAAGAGAACAGCTCCCCAACCAACGTACAGCCATCCAAGCCCTATGGCGGACATGTACTATTGTGGAATCCTGGGAGCGTAATAACTCCGAGACAGGCCTGTTCGGGGCAACACGAACGTGACGTCAGGAGACCCGAATGGCGTTCGGGTGTTTCCGACTGGGAATTGATCTGTTAATGTCAGCTGATCCTATTTCTTCGTTATTTGTATCCATGGATTGAAATACAGTGCAAAATGGACAAAATTTCATGTGTGTGATTTTATAAATTTTATTTTTAATTGTGTCGACTGGAATGGCATCTAGAACGGGTGCTATCGTTGCTGCCACGGTCAGAGCTGTCAAAGCTAGAAAACCTATCGCAACCAGAGCTGCCTTACTACTTGTAAGTTTATAAAACATTAAATTTTATTTAAAGTTTTTGATTTAGTATTTCCTTCTTATATTTATTATTATTATTTTTTTTTTTTAATTCTTCAATGAAAAAACTTATCAATTATCAAACTTACATGTTATCAAATAAGCTTTCTGATGAGCTTTTAGTGCTTAAAAACAGAATATTAATACTATTCGACGGTTATATTTTAAATAAACATTACAAATCTAGTTTATTTTATCATAGCTAATGTTTGAAGATCATTGTTATTGTCTAATAACCTTCATTGTTCCTTATTATTTTTATCAGTTGTAGTTTTTGAAAGCATCCCTGTCTTTTTTAAAAGTTAAATGTTTTATTTCCAAATTTCAAGTAACAATATTGTTGACTTTTTATTGCATATAATTATGCAACTATGGTTGTTGAAAACAATATTATAAATAAACACATTACATTACTTCATTGCTGCCTCTTATAGAGAAATAGAAAAGTGATTGGTAAATCTATGCTCATTTGGGTTTTAATATACTTTGTTAATTTATCACATGGCTTAAGTTCCACTTGTAGATAGGTTCATTCAAAGTTATTTTTAAAGATTAATTAAAATAATAATCCAGTAATGAGGATTAATTATATGATATATCCACAGTAAAAATTTGTGTGCATACATTTATTTTGCCTATTTTTAATTAAAAGGTGGGATGTTTAATAAACAGGCATGCTATATGGAGAGCCTGAAGTCTATTTGGTCTTTATGGGTCTTTGATATTTAGATTATTATTTTTTCAACTTGGTGGGAAAACCCAGTTTATAGTTCATATTTAAACTAATTGGAATTTGTTGACAATATAGTTGTTGTTGATAAGGGATTACTCAGTACCTGCCTGGAGGAGTTATTGAAAATTGTGTGAAATTTATTTTTAAAAACAATTTATTGTCTTGAAAGTTTAAATACAGTCATATTAGATAACCATTTTAGGAAATAGACTTATTTCAGATATTAATTCCAATGAGAGTGGTTCACCACTTTCTTTTTTAAATCACATGGTTGACAAATAATATTTAAGACCTTTAATCCATTATTTAATCATACCAAGAATTGTTTAACGTTTAACTAGTTACATGTGTAAACTATGGTTTAAAAAATCATTCTATCAATATCAGTGTTAGAATAAATAGAGATTGTTTTAGTGGCCATATGTTACTTAATTATACAGAATTTTTATTTTTTTTTTAATTGAATAATATTCAGCTGCAGTTCAAGACAAAAATCTTAAATGGTAACCTGATTCTCAATAAAATGAGAAATACAGTAATCTGAAATTCGATTGGAATGCTATCTCCAATTTATCTTGTGTATGAACAATCGTTACTGTAATGTCTACTTAATAGTAATAAACTACTTTAATGAGACATTTTCTTATTCTTTTGAATATCTTAAAAATATGAAGCCAGTGAATCTGTATTTAGATAAAATAAATTTGTATATTATGTTTCGTCTCAGTGTAAAACTGGAACAAGCAAATAAAATGAAATAGCCATTTTTTATTTATTGTATTATTATCATTAATAATGTAATATCTCTTCTTTGAAAACAACTTTTCTAAAACACACTTTTGTATCTGTTGTTGAAACAATAATGGCTTTAACAATATTGTCAAAACTTGTCTCATTGATGTAAAATTAATATTGTTTATTTATCAATCCCATTGAAGTAGTCTGACAGGACTTGAATGTCAAATTTATAAAATTTCTTCATCTAAAGTACCTTTAATTTTCTTTACTATAAATAATTAAAGGTCTCTCATTCTTTTTAGTAATACAAAATAGATAAATATCAGCTTTGAAATAATTAGATAGTTAAATGAAGGTTATTTTTTCAGCTTGATAAATCAAACATGTACTCTGCCCAAAATTGCCTTAAGTTGTTATTTATAATTTAAAGTAATATCAAGTTGTATTAATGTTTTAAAAGAGTAATTTCTAGTGTAATTGGGGTAATAATTGAAAGTTATGTTATGCATTGTACCAGATTTTTTTATTGTTGTATTAGATAATATAAATTTATTATTTTTATAAAACTCATGTACTTTTATTATGTTACAGACACCTGCAGCTGTTAAGAGAGTCAAGGATTTGCTTCAAAATAGACCTGATGCGGTAAGTTCCCTCTCTTCCTCTTCCTTAGTAGTTCTGGAATAGATAAATAAAAAATAATTCATTTAATAATATTTTATTGTCGCTTAAGGTTACATTATATATTATAACCTATCCTTCGCTATATGACCTCCTATACAAGCTATCCTTCGCACATGACCAGGTCATCATTCAGGACTCAGAAGATGCTGGATGTATGTTATGGAAATTAAATGAGGAATACCAGCAGTGGCGACTAGTTATTAATGCAGAGAAAACGGAACACATGACATTCAATAATGAGGATATAGAACTGAATCCAAGATGGATTCTAAAAAAAATTAGATATTTTAAATATCTTGGTTCCCAAATTGAAATATATGGTGCATGTGATGTGGAAATAAAAAGAAAAATTTCAGATGGCCAAAAGACCATATCAATGCTCAACTCGGTATTGTGGAACCAGAATATTATCCCAAAACAAAAATATTTACAATAGTATTGTTGTGAGCATTATGACATATGGGTCAGAAACTTGGACCTTACAAACATTCCTGAGGAGGAAGAAACTTCTAGCCACAGAAATGGACTACTGGAGGCGAGCTGTAGGAATATCCAGAATGGATGAAGTGAGAAATGCGACGATCAGAGAAAAGATGGAGACTAAAAGAACCATTCTGGAAGAGATTGAGAAAAAACGCCTGAAGGAAGACTACCCAAAGAAGTCAACTTATGGAAAACTAGGGAATGGCGAAGACGAGGAAGACCTGGGATAAAGAAGTGGAGGAATCCATGATGGGTCATAGTCTATGGGAAGAATGGACCTTAGATAGGACATTATGGGAAGAAACCATCCAAGCACTTTAGGTTAAAGAAACCCACTATTAGTGGAAACCCCTAATAAAAAAAAAAGTACCATAACGTTGGGGCTGTTTGAATCTAGTGAATCATTTAGACCTATTGAAAACAAGTTTTTAAATTACATATAGGTTTCTCATTATATAAGTTTTTATTTAATTCTTATTTATTGTTTTTTTTTTCAGGTTGGTCTCAAGGTAGGAGTTAAGCAAAGAGGTTGCAACGGTTTGAGTTACACATTAGATTATTGTACAGAAAAAGGAAAAATGGATGAAGTAGTCCGTCAAGATGGTGAGAATTTATATTATCTATTTATCAGTTATTTTTGGATATAATTAATGTATGTATGAAAAATATTGGATTTAAAAATGAAATATGAACACTTGGAGTTGATTGTTCCATTGCCAGTTGTTATACTTTTGCATCAGTGGTTTTTCTTATATTAAAAAAAAAAATTGGTTATAATTGAATATATTTAAAATATCATCTGGAAATTTTTTTCCCAAAACTTAAAAATCAGAATTTCCGAAACCATTATCCTTCCTACGGTTTCTTATGGATGCGAATCGTGGCCTATGAACTATACACAAACTATTTTTTGACATTATTGCTCTAATTATCAAGTTCTATTTATATCATGCATTTTATTCTAAATAATCATTGTTTTGTGCAAAGTAATTATTTCATGCAATATAAATACTGCAAGTATAAGAACTTCAGGTAAAATAAATATTGTAAAAATATCCGTGTTAGATACCAAGAGATTGTTCAAAATTCATGTCTTGTAGTTTGTATTGTAAACATTACATTGTTCAGATATTGTATAATTTATTATCTATTTCATAACGACTTATTATACTAAAATATAAATATATAAAGTTACATGAATTTAATAATAAAACTTAGTATTAAACTCATGATATTTTTATAATTTTATCAGTATAGACAATTAGATGTTATTTAGTCAAATACTGGGTCAATGTTATCTCGAATACGGAAGTAAAAAAATAAATAAAAAGTAATGGTAGTCCCTCTAAATTCACTGTTCCTCCATTTTAAATCTTCAATAACTCCCGGGGTAGTAAGTTGGGGCAAGGTCTGAAAACTGTTTTTAAAAGTTCTAACCTTTATTAACAATAGAGTCTATTTAATTTTTTGAGCGATTTGCGAAATGGACTAAAATTACTTGCAATTGTTTGAAGCGTTGTAACAACTATGTTAATTTATAAAAAATTGATATTTCAGCTATCTTAGGATTCACTATAAGTACCTGATTCTGCCCAGCACATACCATAAGGTAACAAACCAGCTCTAAATATTAAAAAGATAGTTTTCATTTTTTCTTCTATTATCTCACATCAGGGTATTATTAATGCGCCAATTAGGTTAAAAATTGCTGGGCATGGCGGGGAAAGGATGCTAGTTTGTCACTAATGCAGTCAAACTTCCAAATTTTAATTATTGTTTTTTCTCCCGATGTCCAACAGTAGCATTGGCTCGCCCCAGTGTGTACCTGCCCGATTTGAAAATTTCTTTTTGCATTTGATAGAACATTTATTGAGTAAAGGTTTAGGCTTTATAAAATAATGATCGCCCTAGCACAGCTTTCTGTATTTTATTATTTTAATTTATTTAGTATTGTGAGTTTTATTTATATTTTGCGATGTTTCATCTACACAGGTTTTCTTGACATAGGATTCTTTTATAAGGTCACACACACAACCTTTTCCACTAATTTAAATTTATAATCTCCTTAAGCAATCTTCATTTTAAGATTTATCGTCAAAAAAACATTCAGATGCCTGGAGTAGGAATAAAATTATGTCTTGCCAATAAATCACTAGCAAGGAATCATGGTTGGGAAAACATTGTTGAAACAAACTAAACAAAAACTTATTCCGATACTTTTATGTCAAATTGTGATGTTTATAAAAAAAAAACAAATATATTATCATTTACATTTTTTTTTTCGTATATTGTAACATCTTTTCTCTTATATTTTACAAATAATAATAATATAACCTCGGAAGCTCACTTCTTACCATTGGGATACTTCCTAAATAAATAAGAGATTGTTTAATAATAAGAGAATTAATATATTTATTTATCTCAGGTGTGGATTACTGACAATCAGATCAACTCAGACAAACTATTATTAATTACACTATTTATACTAAAATTAAACAGTGATTTAAAATAAAGTCAAATATGGATTGGGAAGCTAATTTTTTTTTCTACATACACTGTTCCTTCCTTTGTTGCACTAAATTCATTTGTCTTCAAACATTTTCCTAAGTTCTGCCAAACACATCTTCCAAAATGGTAATACAATTACTGGGTTTTACCTACTGGAGCCAGGATCACTTCTCCTATTATCCTCTCTTCACTACAGTCACACAACTACTTGTCAAAACAAAAACCTTTGTCCCTCTCCTCTTTGGGATTTTCCTTCTTGGGAAACTAGAGTAGCCATTTTCTTTTCCCTGCACTAGTAGAACTAGATTAGCTTGCCTTTTAATTGTTCAACATTTATTTATTGAAACCTTTTTACTCACTTCCAATGAAGGTGTACATTACAATATGTATTTCTTTTTCGTATATTTGTTTGAATTTTTTTATTTATTATATATATATTTTTGAATTTTTTCTGCTCACATTAATCCGGATGTGAAAGAATCTACTGTATTTCAAATATTAGTTTTATTATTTGGATTTTATATGTTTCTATCATTAATTTCAATTCTTCCAATTATGCAAATCTATTAATTTATTTTTAAATTTGTTTAGGTGTTTGTGTTATTATTGATCGGAAGGCACAACTCACATTACTTGGGACCGAAATGGATTTCGTCGAAGATAAACTGACATCTGAATTTGTTTTTAACAATCCAAATATTAAAGGGACTTGTGGTTGTGGAGAAAGTTTTTCTGTGTAGCATATTGTTATTTATTTTAGTAAAATATATTTATTTTTCTAGTCTCTTTTGCATTGTCTGCATGTTGCAATAATCAAAAGATAGAATGTTGTAAATGATTATTTATTTTTAATGCAATAATTTATAAGAGTTAATTGTTAATATTGTTAATAGTAGTGAATCAATTGTTATTTTTTACTGATGTATGTAATTAAAAAGTCATAGGAAAATCTGAAAATTAGCCTTGATTTAAATGAAGTATTTATCATTTCAATTTTTTTGTTTAAATTATTTTTCTGTTTAGTAATAATACCTTAACTCGGAATTATAGGGTAATTTTTTTGTCAACATTTTATTCTTGAGTAATTTTTGTATTCTACTGTTACAAAGTATTTTTTTTTTCTCTCTATGTTGTTGATCTTATTGTTTATAAATGTATATATTGTTTTTCTCTATATAAATACTGAACTAATGTGGGTTTACGTAATGGGATGAAAAGCCAATGGATATAAGTTACGTTTTTCATAAATAGAGTTGTATGTGGTTATAGATAATTAATTCATTTAAAATGTTTGTACTAAATAAATACAATGAAATGTCTATCTTGTCCTGAGATATACAGTTACAAAATCAGCTGTTTTATTTTGCTATTGTTGCTATTAATCAGCTGTTGTTGTTTAATGCTATAATATTGTAAACTGTTTTTAACTTTAAACTCCGTTTTGTCAGAATGATAAAATCGTCAGTTGCTCTCCTTAGCTTTTCAGCCCCTCGTATGTTAACATTACTGAATAAAGTATTTTTAATAAATATATTTTTTATTATTATTCTACTCCAACAAAATAATTTAAATAATCATAGATTAGTCACTGAAATTTAGCACTATGTACAGAGTGACCCAGGAAGAAATGTCAGCAATTGAGAGAAAAATAGTCTTCTTCAAATGTATTTCAGTGCTATAATATTGATATGGGTTTCCTGAAAAAAGGAAATCTGGTGTGTCTACTTACACAACTTTCTTAAAAATTTTAGACAAACGTATTCAACTTTAAATATGTCTACTAAAAACCAATTTAATTAGATTAATTTTCTTGAACAACAGAGAAATGCTGAGTATAATTTCTTTGATGAACTAAAGCAATATAAACGGGTACGTGAACTATGATAAATCAGCTTATAAAATTCAATACATTCTAATTCAGTAATACCGTAACTTTGCTACAACTGTACTACTTTTGATTTTTTTAAATAGTTTTGTCAGTAATTTAATAACCTTTCCAATAAATAGGTTAAAATGTGTTTTGAGGGGGCTCTAAGATGTAAAGATCTTTTAAAAATCCCATATCAGCAATTTGATCTGATCACAATAATTTCCTTACCTAGTACTGGTAGGAAAGTAATAAAACATGTGTAGAAAATTGAATACTGATTACTAATACTGATTCAATTTCAATGAATTTATTTTTTATCCAGAATTAAATTGCATTTTAATTTGGGGAAAAATGGAACTTTTTACAATTAATTCTATGTTTGACAAACCAAAAATATATTATTCATGGAATTGTCGTTTTAGTATTGTTTAAAAACTTATTTACTGTGGATAAGTGCATGCTGCTGAAAATATTTGAAGTGTTTACAAGTTGGTAAAACACATGGTAACAATAATGAGCATTAATTACTTAAGCTCTGAAAATATAAATAATTAAATATTATATTGATAAAAAATACTTTATAATTATTATAAATAAATGTAATAATTATTACAAAATATATGTAATATTTTTTTTTTCTGTTGGCACTACATATCTTATAGATCTTTAGCCACCTTGACAAGCCTGCTCTATCTCTGCCTGTATTGCGCTATTTCTTTTCAGTTATCTACATAAAGCTCTAATACATCTTTGTTGATTCTATCTATCCATCTGCTTTTTGATCTTTCACATGGTCTTTTGCTTTCTATTGAGGCATTCATTGTTACATAGAGGATTTCAGAAGGATTGCTACAAGCTACATGCCCCACTCATCTTAACCTCCCTGCCTTCATATCATGGATATTGATTGACCAGTTTCTGTAAGCAGTTCTTTATTGGTCTCTCTTCTCCATATGTTAGTACTTTCATTCCAGTTATCGCACAGAGAATTTTTCTCTCAAATATTTCAATACTTTTTTCTAGGATGCTGGTTAGTGTTCAGGTCTCACAGCCATATATTAGAACTGGCTTTATCATAGCATTGTACATCCTTAATTTGAGATTTTTTGTGATTTTAATACCTTAGAAGGGAGAAAAAAAACTCAATGTGGGCTATTTATACACTGATCTATTTCTGACCCTTAGTCATTCATTGAAATTATAGTGGAGCTGAGGTATTTGAATTTTTCTACTATCAGAAACCCCAGATCGTGTTATTTGGGTGGAATTTTCGGTTTATTATCATATATTTTGTTTTGTCTTCATTTACTTGTAGTCCTATTTGCTCTGCTTCTCTTAGTCTTTGGGAGTTTCTCAATTTCCTCTAGATTACTTCCAAGAAGAGCTCTATTATTTGCGTTATGTAATATTATTAATGTTTTATTTAAATTTAAATTTAGAAGTTAAAAAATAAAACCTTATAGCCTAGGGTTGAAACCCCATCTGCCCTCCCTTCTCATCAGGCTTAGTGGTATAATGTAAACCTCACCAAATTTTTTTTGTTACATATTATATTTATTACATTCAAAAGAGTAAATAAAGTTCGAATAAATAATAAAATCTAATGAACAATAACGAAACTATAATAACGGAAATCGAGTTTAGGACCTTACCTGCCGTCTGTCCTAATTGTCTGGCGATAAAGTGGGTACCATTCCTTGCTATAAATCAAGATATGACAGCCCTAAGGTAGGTATGGTTCATTTTAGTTTAGGGAGATTACAAAATGTAGAATATACCTGTAGGGCAAAATGTACCTTGTCCCTAAAACCAAGGGTTGTCCAGAATTACTTTTCTTATAACTTCCTTCCAACGTTGCTCCACAACCTGATAACAGAAGTTATATGGAATAAAATAAGTACGAGTTCGCGTCACGGAGCCAGTGGGGTTTTTAACTCTGGCATTAATCCCACGCCCTCACCCCGGGGAAAACCCCGTATAGTCTAGAAGGGGAGAACAAATAAATAAATTTTAAAAAATTTCCTTTCGACATCGAAGTTTAATAACGAACTCTAGCGGATCCAGGGTTTAATTTTTGGGGGGCTTCAGTACGAACGATTTTTTTTTTTCATAATAATAACGATAATTACTTTGGAAAAATAGAAATGAACTAACTACCAATATGAAATGGTGTTTAAGTGATTCCTAAAGTCTTTTTAAATGTAATTACACGAACAATAATACTTTAAAAGATAATTTTTTAATATTTTTTTCTATTAAACATGTTTATATTTTACCATTTTGGGGAGGCGTCAGCCCCAAGGCCCCCTCCCTCCCGTAGATCAGGCCGTTATAACAAAGGATCGATTTATGTATCTATTTCGATTGTATTTTTCATTATTCTAAAACCATTTCAGATATATTCTACCTGTAGAGCTTCAATTATCTTATATATTATTTCTAAAAGGTATTTGTAAGTTATGACTAACGCCATAACTTATTCAATTCTTCATCAAATCCAACGATTGAGCCCTCATTTTGAAGATTTCTCCTTCAGGGGGGAAAAATAGCCACATCTCGAAATTTAAGAAAACAAGTTATGAGGGAAAAAAAAACCTTTATTTGCGAATACCTCAAAAAGTATGCATTTTTTCTGAATTATACCCATAATTATTAGAAATATTACTGAATTGCCTACAAAACAAAAAACAAATCATGGAAATCTCTTAGAAATTTGAAACGATTTCTACCAATTGAAGGAGCAAAGTGTGCTCAAATAAAAAAAGAGAAACAGAGTTGAGATTTGTATTTCGCAGGTCGAAAGACCCACAAATAAGAATTTTCATAGCAATTGAAAAATAAAAATAAAATTCTACAAATTGGAGCTAAGGTGCCCCTTTGTTTTTTGTTTTTTTGTAAATCACAAAAAACTGGTAATTTTCAATATGCTTCCACCTATCCAGACGAAATTTAGAGACTTATAAACTACAAGAAATAACACCAACTAGCGGATCCAGGATTTAATTTTAGGGGGGCTTCAGCCCGAAATTTTTTTTTTTCATATATATATAACGACACTAGCGGATCCAGGATTTAGTTTTGGGGGGGGGCTTCAGCCCGGAAGCGTTTTTTTTCCATATATATAACGATAATTACATTAGACAAACAGAAAGATACTAACTACCTATATGAAATGCTGTTTAAGTGATTCTTTAAGTCCTATTAAATGTAATTAAACGAGCAATCATACTTTAAGAAATAATTTTTTTATATTTTTTATCATAAAACATGGTTACATTTTACCATTTTGGGGGGGAGGCTTCAGCCTGAAAGCCCTCCCCCCTCCCATCGTAAATCCGCCTGTGTATAACGATAATTAATTTGAAACAAATGGAAGAAAGAAATTAACTACCTATATGAAATGGGGTTTAAATGGTTCTCGAAGTCCTATTAAATGTAATTACACGAACAAGAATACTTTAAGAGATAGTTTTAGTATTTTTTTCTGTAAAACATGGTGATATTTTACCATTTTGGGGGCTTTAGCCCGAAAGCCCCCTTCCCCCGTAGATCCGCCTGTCCACCAACTTTACCCTTCCCTCTAAATATTTTAGAACTGAAGTATACGGTTTTGAAGAGCGATAATCCAGCTTTCGAACGGTTGTAGAAACATTGAATTAGGATAAAATCCTGAGGAGTTATGCATGTTTTAGTTGACACAAGGGAAAGACATCATAACGAAACGTGAAGTCGCTGTCATGACGATTAATTCAGCACAGCTCTTCTATCCTTTATATTATTTCTAAAAGGTGTGTTTTTGTCGTTATACCATAACTTCTTCATCAAATCCAATTATTGACAATTCATTTTGAAGATATTCTTCTCCTTCTC